CGCAGACAACTGGCGAAAGTGCATCGGTCACGTGGAGAAAATAGAAAATAAGATGTGGGATGTAGATATACAGGTAGATGTAATTATGGAACCGATTATAGTCCAACTTGATGACGAGAGCGATGATTCGGATAATTCTGATTTTGAGTAAGAGTGAATTTTGTAATTTAAGCTATTTCTTGAGTACATTCCAAGTGGTTTTCACAATTAATTTGCCACAATTAATCGTGACAAACAAAGTTTGTCACGATTTAAGTATTAAAAACACTCGACAAGCGTTCCTTGAAGGTCTCTCTACGGGTTTAAAAACACCATCAAGCAAGGGCCGACATCTAATAATAACACATATTGGTAGTGAACATGGTTTTTTCCTGGAGGACTCTCAGTTTTTGAATCCAAAAATCTGGAGATTACCACGAGAACATGGATACTGAGAAATTTGAAACTTGGTTTTTGTTCATATTGACAAAAATTGAACCTGGCTTAATAATCATTTTAGATAATGCTTCCTATCAAAGTCGTCAAATAGAAAAGCTTCCAACAACAAGTTGGCGAAAAGGAGAAATAAGTAAATGTCTAGATAGGAAAGAAATTGAGTATTACAAGTCTATGGTTAAGCCGGAGTTACTAAATATTGCAGGACAGCATAAACAAAAATTTCTAAAATACGTTTTTGATAAAATATCTCGTAACCATGGGGTTTTTATTCACCGATAACTACCACACCATTGTGAGCTTAATCCTATAATCTGGGCACAAATAAAAAAAGAGGTTGCAAGTAGAAATACTACTTTTCAGTTATGTAACCTCTTCTACGAAGCCATAAATAACATTACCCAAGAGAACTGGCAAAAATGCATCTTTCACACGCAGAAAGAAGAAGAAAATATGTGGAATTTAGATATACAGGCAGATGTCATTATGGAACCCATTGGCGTTCAACTTGGTGCAGATAGCGAACACTCAGACATTTCTGATGTTGATTAAAAGTAAGGTATGTAAAATTGATTAATAATTCAGTTTGAAAAGTATTTTCGTAAGTTTTCACCAAGAACGTAAGATGGAATTTGATTGTGTTGTTGATATCTTTGGGAACACACACATGTATTGTTTGATGATGCCGATTTATTTTATTGCGAATTTTATTTCGATTCTTTTATTTGAGCCCGAAAATGATATAATAGTAATTCATTTACTTGTATAAAAATGTACTATTTAATATACTAAATTTTAAAATTTTATTAGTCTATTTTAAAAATATTTTTGAGGTACTTACAAAATTAAATATTAATATTAATAAAATTGCTGTAAATATTTATCCAAAAACCTCGACGCCTATGATCTTCCTCACGTCCTTCCGCTCGACACCGTAACTGTCTATACTTTAAAAATACGTCACTCCGTAAGATTTCCAGATCGAAGTATAGGCAACTATACTATTCAGAAATTATTAACACTATACCAGGTAAGTCAAAATTAATTTATTTAACAATTTACTAATCTTTTTCTCTCTTTTATTTCAGAGTCGAACCCACATTGTGATGGCTTCATGAAATTCATGAACAACAAACTCATATAAATATCCATTTAAGTTGTATCCTTTTTAACATATTGAAATCATTTCAATATACAGTAAACTCTTAAATATTGGGGAAATCTGCAAGAAAACTCTAATGTGTATCAATTATTTCACCTAACGTTTTCGCCAAAGAGAATTAATTTGGCTTCTTCAGGGCTGAAAGAGAATAAATTATAATTAGCTACCATATATTATCTAATAAAAAACATTTACCTTACCGTAAATTTTAGAAATGTCGAGTTATGATGTTAAAAAACTTTAGCTAGTAACAACATAGTAGTGTTTTTTTGTTACTATGTGCAAAAAAGTTTATTTGTTAACGTTGGAGATGTATGGTAGCTTTGAACTTAAAACGCAAAGGTTTACCCAAGGTTCATCGAAAAACCCAATGTAACTACATTTAAAGGAAGTAATTCTTTGAATTGTCGGCAATAACTAAATTTTTGATTGTTTTAAAGTTTGAATGTGAGCTTCTGTTTTCATAGAATACAAGCGCCGAACAATTACAAGTAGTGCTTTTGAATATCTATGTCGTTAAGGTTCATTGGTAAAACCGATGAAGTTAGATCCCAGTCTGGGCAGATATTAGTTTAGAATTTTCTTAATTGAAATTCTTTTTTTTTTAATTAGTATATTGTTCATGTATTATTTTAATAATATCTTATTGAGATGTATCTAAGAAAAGCAAGGGAATGTTATTTTTTTAGTTAATGAAAATTATTATTAAAGTAGGTTAGTTGTTAATAGTTGGATTACTTTTTCCTTCAGTTTCTCCAAGTTGGTGGCTCGCTCGAACTCATGCCTGTACAATTTCGTTTTTAGCATCTCGCAAAAATAACAATCTGGAGGAGCTAAGTCGGGTGACCGAGGGGGCCATTTTATTGTATCGTTTGTAATAACGACATGTTTAGCAAATATTAACCCTAAATAGTCTCTAATTTCTTTTGCATTATGTTCAGGATAGCCGTCTTGTTGAAACCAAATTTCGTTGAATTAAATTTGAAGACGTTGAAGTGCAGGAATAATTCAATTATGCAGTAATTGAAGATATTTAACTGCGTTTAAATTGCCTTCAATATAAGAAGGACCAATAATATGGTCTCCCAAAATTCCAGTCCAAACATTCAACTTTTGTGGATACTGCGTACGCACAGACATACTCAAATGATTATTCTCTTCAGACCAATAACGTACAACGGATGGATTATGTTTCTTGTGAATTGTGCAGGAGGACAAAATATTTTTTTAAAAATTATTATTTGCATGGCATCTCTCCGTCATAATTTCTCAGAATTGCATCCGTTTAAATTGATCATCATGAAATATTTATTGAGTTGTCTGCACTTTATAATAATAGTAGTTGTCTTATGAGGCTTAAAAAAATATTTGATTAAAACGCGATTTATGAATATTTACACAAAAATAAGGACAGTATTGATAAGCAAAATGTGTATAGAAAATAGAGGCACTACTTATTAGGAATAAAATCATTTTTGACAAATATTGGTAAACTAAGGATTTACAGTTTCACTTTTAATTATATTTGGTAATATTTATTAATTAATCACCTGTTGAAATTTATGCATATATCCTTGAACAGCCAATGCAGAACAATATGTATCAATAGCACAAGATCCATATGCATTATTGTCTTCTGATGACACACCACTTACGGTGGGCTTTCCAGCATCTGCCCAATATGCCCATGTGATCCGAAATGGTCCACAAACGTCACCTAAAAATAACAATACATTAATAAGGAGTATTAGAAATACTACCACCTAATCAACTAATTTACTAAAACTAGAAAAAATCAGGTCCGATTTTAAAAGGTTGGTTCGTTTTTTATAGAAAAAATTTCACTTTGTAAGATGGTTTTTGAAAACTAATAATAATTTAACAAAATGACAAACTTTATATTGAAATCGTAGGCTTCCACGGCCAGAGTCAGAATTATAGTTTATTCGTCTTCCGGGTTTGGACCGTGTCATTTGTGAGTGACCCAAAAGTGGGTTCATCTCGACGTTTTGCTACAATTGTATGTAGCTTCTTCAGGAGAACAAAGAAAAAGAAAACAAAAGACAGGAAGATGGGTAGTTAGCAACGGTAACTCAGTTACTCAACGCAACCAGAGGCGAATACTAACTACCAAGATGGGCATTTGGTCACAGTAACTCAACTACTTAACGCAGCCAGAGGTGAAAACCAAATGCCAGGACAGGGATTCACGTCCAACAGCTCAGAACACTAACGCGTCGAGAGGCGGGGACTGAATCCTAGTGAAACGTCGAGATGAACTCACTTTTGGGTCACTCACAAATGACACGGTCCAAACCCGGAAGACGAATAAACTATAAAACTTTATATTGTTGTGAAGTTATTTGCTTGTGGTATTAAAAAAACGGGTGTGGCAGTCCAGTGGGAGTGCCGGTAGAAGTTATACTTCTATGTACGCGTTTGCCGTTACAAATTTATAAGGGAGTCAATCTGCACAATCATTACATATGTAATGCTATACGTAAGAGAGAGTAGAAAGAGAAACAGAATTAGGTATATAGTTATATGGTGCATCGTTTGCTGTATATAAACAACATTTGACCTGTAATATGAGTAATTTAATTTTTGTCAAAGAGAGGCAACCTTGCAAAGGAGCTTCTCACTTGGAGAGAAAAGACCTGCAGAGGAGGAGGAAAGCTTTGACATAACGCCTATGGTAGGAGCAATGAAGAAACTTTTTAGCATTACAAATAATTTATTGAAACTAATGTCCGACCATATAAACACGAAGGTTGTGATTACAAATGAAATAAAAAAACTTAAGAGAGTCACCGAAGACATGGAGGGCATTTTCAGACAAGACGCGCTCGGTAGTGTCGAGAAAGGAAAAAGCTAGTAAAAAAACGGTGATGAGGTCATGATGAAGAAGACTGCAAGCGTGTTCACACAGGTGGACTTTAAAGAGATCTCCTCCAAAAAATTAGGGAAAGAGAGGTAGAAATGGTCACAAAGGTCTTCAACTCAGGGGAAAGAGACTTTGAAAAAAATAGATAAAATCCTAGAAATTTAATGGATAAAAAGATACACTATACGGTTACCAAACCAAGAAGAGGAAATAAAGCAGCAGGCGACTTGGTAGTGGTTTGGGACCAGGACTTTTCGGTGAGGGGGAAAGTTTCCACGACCTGATAAAGAAAAAACCGGAACTGGGAATATGCACTGAAGGTACAAGTGGAACACAATCCTGAGGGTACAATAGTACACTAGATCAGGACAAGTGAAATACTTCCAACTTAATACTATAACTACAATTACAAGAAAGAACCAGGAGTAGAAGAACCGAGGAAGCCGTCAGACCATTTTTATGGTCCCTGTGGAAAAAGGGGAGATGGAAATGAACGGCGACAAGAGGCTACTGGTAATTATGTCTAAATTGAGGGAAAACATAGTGATTTTAGGAACCAGAGAGGCATTCCTAAAAGTAGTGAGCGGCTACAAAGGTAGGAACTTCAGGAAACTCCTTGAAGTCACCTTTAGAGGTATGGATCTTCACCTCGTGCTGGAGGAGTATGAACAAGAAGAAAATAGGGCTGGGATGCAGAAGGTGAACGTGAAAGAAGGCGGAAAATCTTACGCTGAGTTGCTGAAAGAAATAAAGAGTAGCGTAGACACGAAGAAGGAGGGCATTAGTGCCAAAAGCGCTAAAAAGACCAGGGGCGGAGACTTCATCCTTGAAGTAGCAGGGAAAGAACAGGCTGAGTGCCTGAAGAAGACTATTGTGGCCCTTACGGAGTGAAACACGGTAGAAGACTTTCAGGGTTATCAGGTTCAGGTGGACATATTTCACATAGATGGAGATGTCACAAAGGAAGAAATTCTGAAGCAGGTCCGAAGATATATCGGCAGCAGGGGGCCTAATGACGTCAAACGTCACGGTCGGACTGACGCAGATCGCAGCCAAGAAAGCACTGGAGAAAGAACAGATACGCATCGGCTGGAACTCGTGCAAGATACGAGAGAGACTGCATATCCAGCGGTGCTTTAGATGCCTGTAGTTCGGGCATAGCAAAAACGAATGCAAGGGAAAAAACAGAGCGAGCTGCTGCTACAGATGTGGCAAACAAGCCGACTACAAAGCCGACAGCTTACGATGCCCGAACAATAGAAAACTAATCCTGGAAAAACGGAAGGTCACGAGAGACCCTATCAGAAGGGAGGAGGAAGGAGTGGGCGAAAGCACTTAGGACTAGGAATCAGACAGCGTACGGGTAAGAAAGTTAAAGAGATCAGACTCATATTACAAAGTTTCTACAAATAAATGTGGGAAGGTCGAGGGCTGCTCACGACTTTGCAGAGTCACTTGCACGAAGGGACATGATGACATGATTTTATTTTAGAAGCCCAACGTAAAGTTGGTCTCTCGGCAGGGATCATCTGACGTGGCCGTATACGTGGTGAATCGAGGAGCTGGCATTACCAAACACTCCGTTAAGAATGGTTATGTTAAGGTATATGTCGGAAACCTGGTAGTATATAATTGCTTCTTCTTCTTCAAGTGCCGTCTTCGTTTCGAAGTTTGGCCATCATCAAAGCTATGCGTATTTTTGATGCTGCAGATCTAAACAGTTGGTAATTGGTGCCATTGTACCATTCTCTCAAGTTTTTCAACCATGAATACCTTCTTCTTCCTATAGATCTCTTTCCCATTATCTTTCCCTGTATAATCAATTGCAGCAACTGGTATTTATCTCCCCTCATAACATGTCCCAAATATTGTAGTTTGCGCTTTTTAACAGTAAGTATTAGCTCTTTCTCTTCCCGCACTCTCCGCAAAACTTCCGTTATAATTGCTATGTTTCACCAAATATCCCGCTTCGAGTATATGCCGAGTACATTGACTCGATTATGCAAGAGGCTAGGATGAAGACTGTACTGGTCGTCACAGCTGATGATCTGAATGCGATGGATCGTCTATGGAACCTACGAGTGCAAGATGGGAGAGGGAAATACCTATCAGAATGGATCCACGCCATGGGACTTACCGTGTTAAATGATGGTAAGGCACTTTCTAAACTGGGTCGTAAGCTGGACTGTTTTGGAAGAAGAATCGCTCAGCTTACACAAATATATGGGTTTCAAAAGACAGAAACGTAAAAATGGGGATATCAATCTAAAAAGATGTTAAAATGAGGAGGATTTGGTAGATTCTTTGGGCTTGATTGGTCCGGGATTTGAGTATGTGTGTGAGTTAATTGAGGGTCTGAGTGATGCGAAGAAGTTGGCTTGTGTAAGATCAAATTGGAGGTATGAAAGAAAACGAGCAGCTTGAAAATGTGAGGATAAACTGCATGAGAGTAAGAAGGGAGTGCTAAGAAGATTGTATGGGCTTCAAGATTGTATGTTCCGAATTGAAGGGGAAAAAGACACCTGCCTGAGGAGGAGAAACTTCGTTTAATACGGGAACTCTTTCCTCGGGTGGAGGATTGGCGTGAAAGGGTCATTGGTTTCGTACAGAACCCATTGAATTGCAACTTGGCGAGGCTGTTGAAAGGATGAAGATCCGAAAAGCACCTGGCGTAGATGTAGTCAAGCCAGAGACAGTAGGACTCGCCGCATTAAAATACTCCCAGGTTTTTCTGAGATTTCTAAACAAACTGCTTGAACAACAGTAGTTTCTAACAATGAATACGATTTCGGCCAATTTGCCTTCTTAGTTCGATAGCTAAATTGTACGAACAGTTTATAAAAGGCCGCCTTGATCGAGAGCTAGAAGAAAAGCATGTACTGAGCGACCGCCAATATGGTTTTAGGGCCAAAAGGTCCACCATAGATGCGGTCACAGAAGTAACCTTTTTAGTCACGCAGGATACAAAGAGATGGGTGGCTCTCATCCTGCTCGACGTCAAGAATGCCATTAATACGGCATCATGGGACAAAATCATGTCTAGGCTGAGAGAATTGGGCGTTAGTGAGTACCTGGCCAACGTTATTGACAGATACTTTACTGACAGGTCCATAAGAGAAAAAGATACCAATATCAGTTTGTCACACGGTGTTCCGCAGGGTTTAATACTAGGTCTCGCCCTGTGGAATATCCTGTACGACGGGGTGTTGACGCTACAGATGCCAAGGGGATGCACTCTTGTAGCTTATGACAATGATCTCGCACTGATTGCGAAGGCGAGTCAAAAAACGGACAGGGCTAATGCGGCTAACACAGTTATGCGTCGCATTACTAGGAAGATCAGAGAGAACGTTCTACAGTTAGCGCTTCAGAAAACTGATGTGTTAGTTCTCAAAAGGAAAAATTCTCTCTTCGCTTTATAGTGGAAGGGTGGAGGTTGCACTGGTAAAATCAATTAGGTATGTGGGAGTCTGGTTGTCGGAAGGTCTAAGGTTTGGAGTACACATTGTAATGTGAGCGTAGCAAGTGAGTGGGGGGTTGGAATAAGGGGCTAAGTAGCATAGAAAAGATAATAATTATTCGAGATAATTATTATATATTCCAAATTTAATAAGGGAGAATTAATACAGTAAAGTATACATTTAGGTTACACAAAGAAATTGACCTAGTTAGTGCATTGTTTGTTAATTGTTTAACGTAGAAAAAGCACGTCAAACAGAAACTGTTATTGTAATGCAATATAGGACCCACAATTCAGCGAAAACACGACCTTGGTACTAGAACCGGCGTTGAAAGTACGAGCACAATAAAACAAGAAAAAACGACGGTAGCCAGGCAGTCGGTATGTCTCCGGGGAGTAGTAAACACGCGACATAGTATCTCGTATAAATCAGGTTAGTAGTGAAGTTCGTAACAACGGAGGAGTCCCCTCAACTGACTGAACTCCAGAGGACCGAAGATGGGTCGTTGTTAAAAGTCTAACTACACATAAGGTAACAGATTTCTATATACTAACCTGAGTAATTATAATAGTACAACTGTCAATTCTTCACTCTCTTGCTTCTCGTCTCCCGGCGCGCCGAATGACTTATTAACGATTGTATTTGTAAACTACAGGGTACATTCAATATATCGTAGACTCTAATTTAGTTTTAATGTTTCTTTCGGCCGATTCAGACAGAGACTAGGAGAGTACAAGATTCTGCTTATACATATCTCCGGCTTTTAAAGTAAGCCCATAACCTCAGCTCTTTACAGGAGGAGACCTAGGAGTCCTTACCCCTATCCCGAAAATCCCTTATCTTCTCGTAAATCCACGAAGACGAACCAGTCAGTTCGGACCAGTGGGGCAAGTAAGCTTAGCAGCCGCTCGCAGGGTTAGCATCCCTTGAGGGTCTATAAAGTATTTCAGCGGTAACAGCGGAGTCGCCTCATGTATTACATCTGGTGACAGCGGTCACGGTTTGGGGGAATTTCGGAAAATAGGGATGATTAAGTCACTTCTTCAGTATCCTTGTAAACTTTTGCAAGTTTTATAGTTATAAGAAGCCTTCATCGTTAAAATTTCATTTCACCATCGACATTCCAATATTCTTTCTCCTAAGACGACAACAGAGTAAAGAGACAGTGAGATATCTAGTAAATATTGTGTGGAGTGCAGGACTCCCTTTTCTGGAAGAAAATCCTTTTTCTCTCTTTTTCTTTTTTTCTCAACATTGACCTTTGTATCCTATTGTATAACCATTTGAATTTGTATCACTAGAAAATAACCTCATATAAATCCCTTCCTGAAACCTAGAATCCTAAATTAAGGTAGGTGAATTGCTTTTATAATATATGTGAAGAGATGACAAGTACAAAATTTTTCAAAAAAATACATACTAACACATTATATGATGTTCTCTATGTAACTATCTTAACTTCGTAAATTGCCATAATATTGCACTAAAAATATAAACTATACAGTCTAACAGATTTTATGATATATAAGTATAACAGAAATTATTAATTATTAGTTGAATATAAGAATTAAATATAATTCATTGAAGAAATAACCATTATTGTTCTATTTAGTAGTTGAAAATACAGAATTTAAGTTAGTAGGTCAAGCTCAAGTTCATTTGAGTGTACGATTTTATTGCTTTTCAAAAAACGCAAAACATAAATTCTTTGAGTATTATTTTACTAACTAACGGTTTACATAAATATTATTAAATCCTATTTTTAATAAAACAAGTGAAAGTGAAATATGATACCATTTGCTCGACGTGTGTTTAAAAAATATTTATATTTATATAAACGCGCTTGGTCAAGTAATATACACTAAGAAATTAGATATGACTTTGTTTAACTAATTAATTAAAGTAAATTGGGATATTTGGATTTATAAATAAGGTTTCATTTGTAAAAAGGAAAAGAATTTCATAGAGCTTAATCCTTCAAAAAAAAAAAAAAATACTAACACCTTAGTTGATATCTAAGTATTGATTGATTGATCGATTATTATTTGATTTGATTATTTAATATTTTATACAGATTTAATTTATACCTTCGGCAGCGTATATTTCCAAGTTCTTTTATTTTAACAAAAATTTAATTCTTTATACAATTGTTGGTTGACGTCATAAATTAGCAGATCATACAGAAATAAATACCAAAAAAAAAGAAAAATGCCGCAAGCAACACCTATTACCCCAGTAACGATATCATGGCAACCGCAACCTCGAGGAGTTTTCGCGGCTACCTTAGTCGATTTCAACACAAAGGACCCCATTCGATACTTCGACAAACTAGAGCAGCGCGCACAATTAGACAAATGGAAAGAAGAGGATACCCTAAAAATATTAAAATTCAAACTAACAGGACCGGCGTACCAATTCTTTAAATCAGACCCAACCTTAGACAACCTGAATTACGGAGAGTTAAAAGCGAAACTAATCCAAAAATTCGCACCAAAAAAATTGCCAGGAGAGAGGACGATGATGCTTGCAAACTGCTTCCAAAGACACGACGAGAGCGTTTCGGATTTTACTACAAGACTACGAATACTAGCAGCCAGAGTTTTAGAAGAAGACTTAGAAGGAGCAACAATCGAAGGACAGCTAGGTATCAAGAAGAAAAACAAAGAACTAGTACTTAACCAATTTAAACTAGGGCTCAGAAGAGATGTAATGAAAGAAACAGGCGTTCTACTGTTAAAGGAGCCAAATTTAGATTTGGAAAAAGCAGAGGAAATAGTAGCACTACAGGAGATGAATTTAATGATGACTCAAGGAAGAGCAAACACAGCCAGAGTATCAGCCATAAGAGAAGAACAAAGATGCCACTACTGTAACAAAACAGGGCATCTCATAAGAGACTGCAGAACGAAGAAAAGGGAACAATCGTCACAGGAAGTCAAATGTTACAAATATGGGAAAAAGGGACACCTCAGAGAGGATTGCTGGTCAAGAGCCAATATAGCTAAGAAAACGGAAGGATAATGCTTTGAATGTCGAAAAAAAGGGCACTGGGCTAGAGATTGCTTACTTAACAGAAGGAGAGGCCAACCTAACGACACTCAACCAAGAAACAGGCAAGAGACAAAAACATACACGCAAAAATATGAAAAAAATAATTACACAAACAAGCAACGAGACAATCCGCAAGGAAGGAATACAAACAGATGGATCAGCAACAGAAACAGGCACGAGCACAGAAGGGAATATGAAACAAGAGAAAGCCAACATAACAGGAACCGCAACCAGAATTTAAACTAACCAGAGCCACTGAAAAGCCCCCAGCAAGTGGCCTAAATGGAAGAAGTACGAAGGGCACACACAAAATAGACCACATCGAGGACAACACAGAAACTAAACAACCCTATGTAATAACACTTACAATTAATGGAAGAAAACTTTAAGCCAAGATAGACACAGGCGGCGCTTTCTCATTGATAAGGAAATCACTAATACAAGATAAAAATATAAACCCAGAAATCACGCAATCACTATCGCTACGAGGGATAACAGGACATGAGATAGATATATACGGAACAACATATGTGGATATACAGACAACACCCAAAAGCAGGAAAACGAAAGCCAGATTCATAGTATGTACCGACATAACGCTAGGCGAAGTATCAATGTTATTAGGTAGAGACTTTTTAGCAAACCACAAAGCAATCATATCATATAAAGACGAACCGTCACTAATATTATGGGGACAATCAATCCCAATGTTAACAGCAGGAGAAGTAATGGAAGTAATGACGGTAAAGGCATACGACAACAGCCACCATACTACAAGACACGAATGGAACAAATGGTTATCAGTAGTAAAAGATTTCCTGGAAAAACAGCATATAAACGATATAAAAGAAGACAGTAAAAACTTACCTATCGCAAACATAGAAGATACAGCAAGGAAGAGCAAACCAAAAAAGCAAGGTGAGACACAAAAGAAATCCCAATCGCCAAGAGTACCAACTAAACAGCATACAACCCCCACAAAAACATCGAATAGGAGGAACAAAACGAAGAGGACAGAAAAAACGAGAATATTCACCCCGACAAACAAAAGAACGAAGCAAGGAAGAATAAACGTCTTAAAACAAGATACGAGAGATAGGAGAAAAAGGCTAGACACAGTGGAAAACCCTCTAAAGAAAGGCGAAACATCACAGCGCAATCAGGAAGAAACAGTACACCAAATCATCGAAGATACACAACGGGAAAATGATCAGTCAAAGGAAGAAGAAAAGGAACCTATACAAAGCACGAGATAAAAAAGAAGAAACAAGCGGAAATATAGTAAAGCCGAAAAAAACCAAGTGGACTTTGAGAAGATACCAGTCGACAAAAATAGCAAAGCAGAAAGACCCATGAAGATAGAACTACGAATCAACGATACAAATGCAAAGAACGAAGAGAACCAACAAGCATACCTCTCGAAAAACACAGAGTCTCCAATAGTATTGAACGAAGAGCTAGCCATACCGGCCCGATCCGAAGTCGTCACAATGGGAAATATCAGGAAACAAATAAATGGTACGACAATAGTCTGCGAATCACAAAATAATGGGCCAAACTTCATACAGAAAAGGAGAGAATATTGGAATAGCAACAGAATGTATTGTAGAACAACAACAAAAGAAACTAGAAACAATATCCAAATTTGATATCTCAAACAATAAATGGATCGAAGATGAATTCGAAATGGACCACCTATCCAAGGAAACAAGACAAGAATTGATAAACGTAATAAGGAAATATCACCACATTTTTACGGACGACAACGAGATTATCACAAGCACATCAAAAGTTAAGCACAGCGTTACTCTGGAACCAGGCGCAAAACCGGTTTTCAAGACTTCATACAGAATGCCATATCAACAAAGAGGAGCACTCAAAAACGAAATAGACAGACTACTAAAAGCGAAAGTCATAAGGGAATCAACCAGTCAGTGGAGCGCCCCCCCCAGTAGTATTGATTGTTAAGCAGAAACCGGACGGAACAGAAAAAATAAGATTGTGTATATACTACAGAGGATTAAACGCAGTAACACAGAAAGAATATTACCCCTTACCGAACATAAATGACCTTCTTCAAGGATATCAAGCGGGAGAGAAAATATTATTTTCAGTAATAGACGTCGCAGACGCTTATCACCAGGTGGACATGGAAGAAAAAGACATTCCATTAACAGGATTCAGTACATACCACGGACACTACGAATACACAAAAATGCCTTTTGGACTAGCGAACGCTCCAGCAACTTTTCAGCGATTCATGAACACAACACTAGCCGGACTCACAGGAATATTCTGCATGGTATATCTAGACGATATCATACTATTCAACTACTTGGGCGAACTGGATCACATAAAGAAAATAGAAGAAGTCTTCAAAAGGTTAAGCGACGCTAACATAAAACTGAAACCAAAGAAATGCAATTTCATTTTGAAAAAAGTAAAATATTTGGGACACATAATAACACAGGAAGGCATTTTCCCAGACCCAGAAACATTGGAGGCAGTGCATAAATACCCGTTACCGAAAAATGTCAAAGGAATTAGGTCATTTTTAGGATTTGTTAATTGGTATAGAAAATTCATCCCCAACATAACGGAGATAGCAGCCCCTTTAGTAGAATTAACAAAAAATTACGTAAAGTTCAAAATATCAGAAGAAGTAATAAAAGCGATCGACACACTAAAAGGAATCCTAACATCCGACAAGTTACTCATTTTCCCAGACTTCAATCAACCGTTTATATTATCAACAGATGCATCAAATATTGGTGTATGATCTATAATAAGCCAGATAAGAAAAGGAAAAGAGAAACCGATTGCTTACGCAGGCAGAAAACTCAACAAGGCAGAACTAAACTATTCCACCACAGAAAAAGAACTATTAGCAATAATATACGGAGTAAAAACATTTAGATGCTACTTACACGGAAAAAAATTCACGATCATTACAGACCATCGGCCGCTAAAATGTGTACTATCACTTAAAGATCCTAGTTCCAGACTCACCAGATGGGCGCTTACTCAAGCAGAATACGACTTCGAAGTCATTCACAGACCAGGACGCAAACATGGTAACGCAGATGCGCTCAGCAGAATGTACAACACAACCAACAACTTCATAGACACAACATACGACGAGTACTTAGAGTACAAAAAAGCCAATACCTCACCAGGAAGCCAAAATAGTACAATTAAAGAAGAGAACCCTATAACAACACCGGACGATCAACCATTAGCAATATTCATACCACGAAAAGGACCCATCTCGGACCCCGTAACGAAGCAACTCACAGAAGTATTTGGAAAACCAGTAATACCGACAGATCATGAAGTAGGCAATATAATACAATGGAACGTACCAGAAAAGAATCTCTACTTTATCTAGATCTCTCTATTTAGAAAAGGCAAGACCTGAATGCGAGTCATCATGCCAGAACGTATGGGAATGCCTAAGGAACTTGAAAAATAAATGTGAACAAAACAAGGAAAATCAGATCACGATAATATACTCAGAAAAGCAACGTAATGGATTAGATTGCGAAGAAATAAGTAAAATAGCAAAATTTATTTTCTACAATACAAACATAAAAGCAAAAGTAGTAAAGACGAAGAAAGAGGAAAAAATTCTATCATTCAAGGAAGAAGAACAATGGAAACCAGTTTGGGATAAAGATAATTTAAGGAATAAACAACAACGAGACACCTTTTGCAAAAATATTATACAACAAATAGAGATGGGAGAAGAAAAATGTACAGAAAATTATTACATAGACAGGGAAGGACTGCTCTATCATTCTGACAAGAAAGGAGGAGCGGAAAGATTAGTAATACCCAAGACACTAATTAGAAAGGTCTTAAAAGATTTCCACGATACACCGCTACATTGCCACAAGGGACAACAAAAGACGATAACTACAATAGCCGATAGATTTTATTGGCCCACCCTCAGAGCGGACGTTACAAACTATTGTCAACAATGCGACTCCTGCAACAGAAGGAAAACTTCACCACACTTCAAAAAAAGCGCCACTACAAAAATTTACAGCAGTTAGTAAACCATGGGAAATTACGTCAATGGACATAGTTGGGCCCTTAACGGTAACCCATAATGGAAATCGTTATCTACTTACATTTCAGGATCACCTGACTAAATATTGTGAAGCTATACCTTTACCAGATCAAAAAGCTGCAACGATAGCAAAAGCATTCTTAGAGCAAATAGTATGCAGACATGGAACCCCCCACAAATTAATGACCGACAGAGGAAGCAATTTTATGTCACAAGTTATTAACGAAGTCTGCAATATATTAAAAATCAAAAGGCTATACACAGCTAGCTATGCACCCACAACGAATGGACAGATTAAAAGATTGCACAGAGTCATAAAAGACATGCTTTCGTATTATATCGCGGATAACCAGAGAGATTGGGATCAATGGATACCGTACGTGCTAATGGCATATCGAGGTAGTAGACATTCTTCTACAGGATACACACCATATTATATGTTACACGGAACAGAGCAAATATTACCCATAGACCTCATAACACAACCGCACAGGAAGAGATACGACTTAGACGAAAATTATGCAGCGGAATTAGAAGCAAGAATGAAAATAGTATATACAAAAGCGCAGGAGAATATAGAAAAAGCTAAAGAATCAAGGATAGAAAGATACAATACAAACACAGAAACTAGAGAATTTGAAAAAGGAGATAAGGTATACCTAAGAGACTTAAGTAGTACGACAGGTCTCTCAAAGAAGTTGAAAAAAAAATGGATAGGACCATTTCAAATTATAGAAAAAGTCGGACCAGTGACGTATGCAGTAAGTACAAAAAAGGAAAAAAATAGACAGGTAGTGCACGTCAACAGGTTAAAGAAATATTACGAGAATGAAAAAATTGAATACTCCACAGAGGAAGAAGAAGAAATAGGAGAACCAGAACAAGAAGAAACGGAAGAAGAAAGAGTTGACCCTTCTAAGGTGGCAACACTGCCATTATGGGGACCAGGAACCCCAATTAACAAACCGCAGAGAAGAAGAAAAGAAAGTCAGGGAGACATCAGCCAACGAAAAAGATCAGAACGAATAAAGAAAAGACTAGGCAAGATGACCGAAAGAAAATGTTGCGGCATATTCCACAAAACGAAAACGAAAGGATGCAACACATACAACAGAATAATAAACAAGAATGAGACAGCAATAATAACACAGAGCGATGAAGACACAGATATGTTTTTCGACGCAATAGATGAATAGCGAAAAATATCAAAACAACTATAAGAAAAATTGAAAGCTTGGTATTACAAGAGACGGCCGCTCGAATAATACTAAAATTTTAACAAGGAACTCAATAAAGTTAGAAATCCGATTTAAAGATATACCATTACAAATATAAGTAATATATATATATATATATATATATATATATATATATATATATATATATATATATATATGTATATATTATTATTATTATTAACGTAACATACTCAGCTTATCATCTTGCTCATCAGACGTGTTTATTATAATAAACTTTGTCTCCACTACCACCCATATAGCAAGTATTATCATTTCTAGGAACGGAATAAGAATAAACAGTGTTATAAAACACTGAAATGAAAGGCGACCAAAACTTCAAGTTTCATGGCGACGTTTTAGAGTCGCTGACTCAAAGCGTCAGCGACTGCAAAAGTTAACGACCTCTTAATCGACCCACAACTCAGAGAAACAGCACTAGCTGTTTTCTGCTATTGTGAAATAGTCCTTATGTCAAACGCACTGACGAAAGAGATTTTCAGCGGAGATGTAATCACCGACCCTGATACAATCACTGAAATAAAACAAGAATTTAATGTTTGCCGAGGCAAACACATTATTGGTGGTGTTACCAACAGATTGGTAAATACCACATATTGTGAAACGAATAAAATGTGTGAATTGACAAAGTTCAGAAGAACTGAAAGAGAAGTGATGGAAAAAAAAAAAAATACTAAAAATAGGGCTAAGCTCAGAGGAACAAATTTAAATGGCCAAAGAGACACTAAATCTCAAGTGAGTGTTCGGGCTAGCTTCAATGCACTGGATTGTGGCTTTAAAGATTTAAATAGATAGCAAGGATACTGAGCTAATGAGACAAGAAACGAAATGAGACCTGGTAATATCAAACGTGATACAACTAAAGAAGGTCACTGGGAATAAATTTCTAGAAAGAGAACAATAAGAAGAGAAAAGAAGGGCGCCAACT